AACATTTATCACTATGATATTTTAAAACTTCAGATATTTCAGGAGGGTTGAATTATCAGAAGGGGAAAGATAGGAGTTAGCCGCCGTGCAAAGTAGATATGAAAATTACAGAATCGTCGGGTTCTAGCTGATAGTCCAGCTCACCAAGCAGTTCCCAGTCAACATCATTGACTAGGACCATGACTCCGTTCCGAATTGAGTCGCCAGAGAAGAAAAGTTCTTCATTCCCAGTGAGAAATCCTGAGTCTTTTTTGAGCCACACGAGAAGCCGGCGGAGCGTCCATACGCGGCTGTCGGTGCTCTTAGACTCGTCGGTCCTGTTGGCTCCATCGGTGATCTTACAGTCGTCGGTCACACAGGAAATGTCGTTCAGATCAACGGTGCGCTGTCGTACGTTGCCAAAGAGGGCTTCAGCACCACCCTGCCAGCCCAGGGTAACTTTCATTGCGCTCGGTTTTTGCTACCACTTTTAATGGAAAAATTGTCTACAAAAATTCTAATTTCAGAAGCTTTCAACAAATATATTCGTCAGGGCTTTTTTTCCAGCAGGTGCGATCGTTCGCTCGTCCCTGGAAGTTTTTCACAGTAAATTTTCTAGGTCACTTCTAAAGCACAACTTTCTCGGAATGGTACAATTTCTGAACATAATACTCTAAAATTTTATCGAAAAAAAATATTACATTACGTATTACCCTCATGCGAACTAAATTGCATTGAGTATGTTCTTATCGTTTATCGATTCAAAATCAATGTGGATGCAGCCAACTGGACTGAGTAGCACTCGACGTCTAGCGTTGCATCGCTTGTACCTGCAGGTATAAGAAAATATTAGAGATTAAATACGAAATTTGTTACGTTATCATCCACATAATCAAATCATAAAGAAATGCAAATCCCTTGATGTACCATGCAAGCGCGAGAAATTCCTGGCAATTTCGTCGACGAACCGCCACTCCAAATTAATTACTGTGATAAACCAATTCACTGATAATTGTGTAACGAAACAGTAAAGAGGTTTATTCGCGCATCAGCAACTAAGCCACTTCACACCGCAAATCACAATATGACCATTACCGTAAAATGGAGTAACTTAGAACGGCGGGGTAACTTAGACCACTTTTCGTTTTTTTTAACAAAAACCCCTACAACTCATAAACTATCTGACATAGAAAATTTTTGTCAATGGGCATTAAAGGCCTAATACTGAGGCTACATAACACAATAGAAAGATTTGAAAAGTTTACATATCTAATAGGTTAAAAAATTAAAAATGTGACCCCCGAAAAAAAGCTATTATTTAAAGCCTGTCAGAGTACCCCCTCCAATTTTTTTATTTTTTGGTTAAATAACTCCAGGTTTTGATGCATTTTAGTAGAACTTTTCTAGTTACATATGCAAATGACAAATTTTAGGAAAGTGTCATAGTTTGCAAATGGGGGGCGACGTCCCCAAATGGGGTAACTTAGACCACCTAATGTCAGCCCTGACGGGGTAACATAGACCGGCTTGGAAGTTAATATAAAATTACCATACATATTTTATGTTTGACAGCCTATTTATGTTTTTTCTTTATGTTTCAGACTCTACAGAGTCTTATATATGGTAATTTTAACTTAATTTCCAAGCCAGTCAATATTACCCTATCGGGGCTGCCATTAGGTAGTCACATTTCCCTCATTATGGGGCGGTGCCCCACATTTGCAAACTATGACACTTTCCTCAAGTTTGTCATTTGCATATGTAACTAGAAGAGTTCTACTACAATGCACCAAAACCTGGAGTTATTTGGAGTTATTTTGCCAAAAAATATAATTGATTTTACCACCCGGTCTAAGTTACCCCAAGGGCTGGGGTAACAAAGACCATCACTTTTTTTGAAATTACATAAAGACTATGAGAGGCAGGAGCCAGCAATTTATGGTGAGTGAAGCTAGAGTATAGACCTGTATTTTGCATGATTCAATTCAAGTTTAATTTAGCTAGTAAAAAATGGCATCATTTATAAAAAAAGTGGTCTAAGTTACCCCATTTTACTGTACTAACAATTTAATGACGATCAGCGAAAATTTTCTAGATTGAAGATTATTCTTGCCCATATGGGCCTCAAACGAATAGCAATCTGAATCTTGCGATAAAGAAGCCATGTTAGCATCTCACTAAGAAGAGGAGAGTTAAAAGAACAGCAACAGAAACGAAGATACTTGTACAGTAGCCCGCACGAAAGAGACAGACGGGAATTGCAATGAATCCTGCCGGCACAGAGAAAGCCTACTAAAGCGAACCCTAATGCCTGCTGAAAAACAGAAACTTGCGTAAGAATGCCTACTGATAGCATCGATTATCAAAAGCGCATAAATATACCTACTAAGAGCGTGGCAGTCTTAATCAATGAAGTCATATCGACTGGTTATTACGGATCATGAAACATTGAATAATATAAATAATTAATATTGTGAATACAGCTTTTGTCGGTCTGATGAACAAGTGCGCACGCAAGACAGCTGAGATCAAGTCTGTTATTTATTACCTATGCAATGAGATAAAAATGCAGAAACACCTGTACAAATGTACTGCGACGCACTGTCTGGCTTGCTTTGTGAACAGAGGCTCGGACAAACGTTACCAAGATCGTCTGATCACCAAACATAAACTTGCAATAATGTATCCATTGCAAACAGAGCGCCTTCATTAGAAGAGTCTCAATACTAACGATGCTTGCAGATGTGTTTGAGTAAAAATGAGGAGCAAAATAAATGAGAACTCTTAACGATCTACATTATACGGGCAAGGTATAGGTATGCATAAATCATTCACACTTGGATAAACAAGGCTTACATTAGAGTGATCATCAACAGTGCAGGGCAGAAACCGTGATAAATAGCATTACAACCATTGTAATGGGAGCATCAACATTCTTGGGCCGGGTTGAAAAACTCGGTATGTTTTCACAATTGTATAAGAGATATTGCATTAAAACATGCGTCTTATCTGACGCAATTATGCTACAAGATAAATTTATGCTGGATATTACCTATTTTCGAAATTATAATTACAAAGCAAAATAAATTCATGAATCGGCACCAAGCTTCATATTTGAATTGCATATTTACGGGGCAAATAATGCTGTAATTTTAAAATCGGACCTGCTCTTTGATCTCCGGCAAGGCAGAAACGGAGCGTTCGATGGCTTCCTGTTGATACGTTAAGTGAGTCACCAACACGCCGAGTTTCTGAGCGTTGTCCCAAGTGCTATCGAGGGTTGCGTCCTGAAATGAGCAACGAAATTTTACTAATGACGGCAGTTTGTGAATTACAATAGAAAAAATAATCGCACCAAAGAATCCCGTGCATCAGAATCATAGATAATACTTTCAAACTTGAATAATTAATTATTAGGTAAGAACCGATTAAGTTACTCGGACATATTACTTAATTTGAAGGCTGTACTTTAAATAAACAAGTTGATGGCGGCAGAATATATACCAGATCCATTGGAAGGATTAGTTTACGGTAAGTTTCTAACAAATTCCATAAGCTTACACAAGGCCGGATGGGCAATAACGAGGAAGAAGCGTTGAAATTTTCAAACGCTGGTTTCGACAAAATAACAACTTTTTCTACGTTGCGAAACAACAATGCTAGCAGGAATAGTTTCACAAAATATTTTATAGGCATTCCAAAAAATCTCACATTAATAACATTTGATCACATACATCATTGTCCATCGAGTATTTTAGTATTCATCAAAGTTCGTGCCTACTAAATTTAGCTCAAAAATGTTTTAAGGGGAGTGAATTGTTATAATGGTGGCAAAATTTCTGTAAAACTCCTTCATACAATTTTTGGGCAAAAATGTTCGAGCGATCGATATTTTAAATTCAAGTTTTGAAACAACAGTTTTAAACACAACAGTTTCGAAAATTTAAATTGCAAGACAACAATCATGCATCATCTAGAGTCAATCATAGATGGCGATTCGGATTAAATCCGAAACGCTTAATTGAAATTCCAATTCTTACATAAAAAAATAATTCTACTAGTACTTTAGTTCTTTTCTAACCATATCCTTCAGGTAAGGTATACTAAAAATATATTTAAAAAATCTAAACGATAGAGGCATACAAATGTACAATTAATTTAAAGAGATGAAAGTCGTTTTACAGGGAAAATTTCTGAATAAAAATATGACAAAAATTAAATAACAAAATGTAACCAAGTAAAACTGGTACACACATGAAACCATTCTGCAAATCACTACCTAAGCCAGTGCAAATACGCAAAAGAGGAGTAAACGAAGACTAGAGTCTTAAGGACCTGTAATGCCATGTTCCGAGCAGCCTTGACAAGGAGATCAGCCGACTGCGATCCTCTCAGCACTTGTCGGCAGATGGAAGCCAAGTTGTTGACATTGACGTGGACTCTTTCACCCAAACGTCTCTTGGAATCGACGAAGAGATTCTTAGCTGATGTACTAGAAGCAGACGCCATAGGACGATCGTTCTCTTCAAATACTTGCTTGTGTTCCGAAGGCAAAGCACTAAAATATCACAAAGCTTGTTTCAACTTTTCAGGGCTAATAATTATCCATGTTGAGCGATTCAACAGTGCAGAGCATAACTACGATGAAAATTTTTGTTCACTGGCACGTCAGTTGACACGTAATATCCCGTGATCGAGAGGATTCTTCGTACAGAGTGTTTCCTGCGTGAACATCACTTTGTTAATAACGTCAAAGTTGATACTACTCAAGGGATGGAGTTAACGATAGACAATCGATACTTGAAAAAATTGCTGCACAAAACGTATACCAATTTTCAGGAGGACCAAAAAACTCGCATAAATAAAAACACGCGGCAACTTAGGGCCGATATTTGTGATTTACGTCGGGGAAGTTTTTCTTCAATGTGACCTAACCGCAAGATTGTAGGACAAGCAACTGTGTAAACGAAGCATCAGTAACACTTAAAGAAAACCAAAATTTACCAATCGAAAAATGGTTACGCGAAAACTTCATAACAAATTGTCGACACCTGTCAATATTTTTACAAAAAAATACAGAAAATTTTTAGTTCCAAGACGGAATATGCTTCAACGAAAAAAGATTCAGGGGATAAAACAAAATCTAATTTTGTAAAATTTATGTGTAACAATCAATTATAAACGAAAAAATTACCTCTAGCCAAAGTTTCAATAATGAGCTTAGAAGTGTAGAAGTAATTCGTCTATCAAACTTGCTCATTTAAAATGACAATAGATTGAGAACATTTAAAGTTTATAATAAATTTTCGAAAGCTGTGAAAAATTTAGTAACAATCAGTACAATACGCATAATTGGCCAATATAAAAGAATTGTTTGTGGACATTGAAATAGTAGGTACCACGTCGAATATTTTGGAGGTTATTTCGCGTTTCTCTTGAAATATAATGAAAACGAGCATTTATAGAAACAGAGACATTGCAGCTAATGGGAGCATCAAACTTTTCAGGACCGTTAAAATTTACTTTGAATCAAAAATACCTATCATATTTCTAAACGTAATATGTGAGGCAGTGTTTCTAAACATTAGTAATAACATAGGAAACACCAGCGTCATTCGCCGACATGGAATCTAGAACGGTTCACGAGAAATAAGATACCCAAGCATCTTTCTTGCTACCGAAACCGATATGTGAAAAATGAAAGTGAAAAAATGCGAACCCAGAATTTTCAAGTCGAATAATATCAGCTTAAACTAAGCAATAAGTCAATAACCTAATTTCTTACATGTTGGCATGCAATATCGATACGTTCAGAAAATTTGCAACACGTAACAGTTGAGACGCATTCTGGGACAAAGTAGGAAAAATTTTAGTTCATTTTGTGGCTGGAAACTTATTGCAAATTCTCCACAAAAATCGACCATTTAATTACGTTTCTACAATTATTTTAATTTGAATCAGTAAGCTAGGTAAAAAACCACTACAATGGAAAAAAACTTGCAATACATGCCAAATTCTTTTACCAAAATGTGATTGCGTAATGTAGGCACGAATTAAACTAGCTTTATAGCTTGATAATCAGCGATTGAAGTGAAACATAATAAGCTTTTATGCAATTTTAACTTGTACTCGGAAAAAATCTAGGTAAATACCAATACACCAGGTAAATCCATTGTAAAGTTATACTCATTAATCCTCAAAACAATCATACTTAGCGGTAGACTAGACCTCAGGAGCATCAACAAGGTCGGTAAAAAAATTGTTGAAATAGAATTACAGTAAATTCAATTAAGAAGACTAGGCTTCAAGAGCATCAAAATAGTTAGGATAGAAATTAAGGCCTTGATTAGATTCATCTCTTAGCACGGCGCCTTCGCGTTCGCAGAGAAGCAGGCGTTCTTTCGCCAACATCAGCGGTAATCCCGCTAGTCTGGCCACTTCTCCTGCAGACACCCCCCTCCAGCGACCCTCTCCAAACCCATCACGTCCACCGCACTCGTTCTCCAACAGATCCCGAGTCTCTTTAACCAGCTTTGCAGTACTCAGCGAAGACAATTGCAACACTTGCACCCCAGACTCGAATGCATGCAAGTTTAGGGGATACTTGGAGTTTTTCATCAGCGAGCAAGCGTTCGCGACGTCTTCAGGCGACAGCAGTTGCATGCCTCGAGCTCGGTTGATGCGACAATATACTTCTGAAAGCAACATCACACCACCTGCTTCTTGAACAGGGATTGTCAGAGCCGACGAGATCTCATTGGCCAGTTTTTTGTGGTATTCGTTGGTAGATCCCACGGCGTCACGCGTGACAGGATCGTCGATACCAAGGCTAAGGAGACACGAACGAAATTGTGTTGTTTCATCGGACGACGAATCATGGCCTTGTTCTTTGATACGAGCTGCGATGTTGTGGGACAAAGCAACCATATCTTTTGCTTGAACCATCAGCTGTTTCAGATCCTCGAATGCACTGGATATGCTCTCATTAGCAGCCTGCTGCTTGGCTTCCAAGGCTCTCTCAATGCCCAGGATGCCCGCACGAGGGGCTTTGGGTGCATTGCCACGAGTAGGGTGGTTTAAAGAAAGATTGCGGAAACTGCTCGATACCCAAGCTCGGTCAGAGAGCACGGCCTGTAATTGTGAAAGGCTTGTCTGTAGGTCCGACTGCCTGATAGCCAACTTGATATGAGCGTTGGAACTTTTCCCCACAGGTCCATCGGGTTGTTCTGGAGGCCTAGGACTCAGGTGTATCACCAACTTTGCACTGGACAAGAATCCGCCTGTTTCTTCTTCCACTAAGACCACCAAGGCCAGCGATAGGCCAAGGGACTTAGATTGAGATGGATGTTTCCACATTAATCGAACATTCGTGATACTCAAATGACCATCTTCATAAGACGTTCGATCGTCGCCGTCATACAGACGCTTACAAGCACAAGAGTACTTTGCCACCTCGCCCGGCATCATAGAGGAATCGGTCCAGTACCAACGATCCATCACAGAGACGCTTGTTTTTGATGGTCAAAAAATGAGTTAGTCAGCAGAAACCTTTTGCATTCAGTCGTCTTCAATCCTTTTATTACTAGCGTCGACTTGATCAAGCTATTTTTATGTAAAATTCGAAAATTTTTCAAATACCACGAAAAAACATTCCACGTGAGGAGTGGTGTAAAATCATCGAGTTTCATCCATCAAAATCCAAAAATCTTCTTTTGAACTAGAATACTATAGGACTCTTGATTTTCAATTGGATCTTAATCTTTGACAAGCGAGCACTATAAGCAATTAAAGTAGGTGCGCTCCATAGAGGCCAAAGTTGACCGAGCAGCATTTACAGTATGAGAGATGAAGCTGCCAGCAAGCAGTCTTGGTATGTCACCTCCCTGCAAAGAAACAAAGAAATTATCAATGAATCTTTGCAAGGAGGTGATGCATAATTAATGAACTGTGCGTTCAATAACTTTGAATTTCAAAATTAATACTTTATTTGAGGGTAAAAAATCTCACCTAATTGTCCAGTCACACAATTTTTTCACAAATAATAAATGTCTAACATTCATGAGGAAACTCATCAATAAAAGGTACAATAGAGAATGATGAAGCCTCAGTTGATGTCAATGGCTGTGCTCACGTCACTACTTGACTCACATAAATATTTATATCTTTTCATAGCACCTAGCAGGAGTCAATTGAGAGCATTGTGCTAGTTTGAAATAAATTAACCCAGCTTATTTATGCAATAAATTTTTCTGAAGTATAACACATGCACATTTTGTTATTGCCCTCCAATGTCTTAACTCATTAAGAAAATTAGAAGATGGTATTTAATATCTTATCTAATATTTATTAGAATCTGCTATACACTGGAATCAATTTTATATATTTTACACAATTCATTAAGTGCAGTAAATATTGTCAATCATGAGGATTTCAAGCTTTACTATTGATCATTTTTCCAAGCTCCAGTAAACAAAATTTAGGAAAGGTGGTTGATAACAGGATAGGCACATACAGGGGCTAGACAAAATAAAAAAGTTAGGCCACCTTTTGCGGCAATTCTGCAAGGTATTGATCAATTGTTTACAAAGGGATTTTAACCCATTCTTCAGTTAAAACTTCCTATAGCTCTTTTAAAGAGACGATGGCGGCGGTAATTGACTTCTGACCTGGATCTTCAAAATTTATCATAAATGCTCAATAATATTCAGGTCTGGTGATTGTGGTGGCCAAATGAGATGCCCAACCTTATTAGAATGTTCATGTCATTTTTTAATAATTCCAGCTGTGTGGATTATCATCTTGAAAGATCGCATTCTCCTCCAGAAACAGTGAACAGTTGAATCATTGAATGAACTTGGTTCTCCAAAATTTCTAAATAGCCATGGCTGTTGATCCTTCCATGAAGAAAAATCATTGATCCACAGGATTTCCAAGAAATAGCAACCCGGATCCCTTGCCATGTAATACGGTTGGGAGGAGGCAGTCAGGGTCAAATGACTCTTTCAGCTGTCTCCAAATGTTGACTGTCAGAAGTTGGAAATTAGGTAAATGATGATTTGTCAGAGAAAATCATATTTTTCCACTGCCTGAGGGACCCATTATAGAGGTTTTTACACCACTCTTAATGCTTAGAAGCATTTGTTTTTGAAACCGAAGGTTTTCTAACTGCAGCGCTTCCATAGAATCCAGATCTGTACTGTCTTTATGGAATCCAGGTTCTGTAGGTGTCCATTGAGGTCTGCAGCAATTTCAACAGCCCTGGTCTTTTGATTGTCCCTCACAATTTGATTTAGGTACCAACAGGCAACAGTCTATCAGAAAACTTCAATTTTTGGCTTGTCCTGTGCTTTGCTGAGGACGTTTTTCCTTCTCTTTCAAAAGCAGTCATTACTATTGAGACAGTACCTCTCGAAACGTCAAGCAATCAGGAAGTTTCTGTCCCACTAGCACCTGCTACACGGGCACCCATGATTTGGCCTCTTTGAAAGTCAAAGAAGTTTGCCATTTATAGGTTATAAGTTAGGTTGCAGACACACAAATTTACTTAAAATATCTGTGCAATAATAAAATATAAATTAAGAGCAGTAATAAACAAAACATAAAAATACATCACGTTTTTATTGTTAAAAAACATGTTAAAAAATTATGTCCAAATATCAGGTGTTTCCCTTATTTTGTCCAACCCCTGTATATTGTGATAATTTTTCTGGGACCAGGACAAAAATTATCGTAACAGTAGAATTTTCTGACTCACTACTTCAACAATTAACACTTGTAAAGTTATACTTCATTCTGAATATGAAATCTAAAAAAATAATTAAATTTAAAATTGTTTATTTGAACTTAACAAGTTGACTACGATTGCTTCATCTTGTAATATTATTTCATTTTTTGTACTTTTTTTCAAGCAGGGTTGCCAGACGGTCATTTTTTCCGGACAAATTCCGTGATTTAGTGTTTCTCAATTGCGTTGGCCGGCTAAAATTTATGATAGGAGTACTTCCTAATTAAATTTTATATACTGCAAAAAGAAAATAAATGGAATTTTAATAGCGGAACCTACAAATAAACTAGTATACATTGAATTATCGATCTTTTTTTGCCTTTTTAGCGCATTTTCTCATTTATGGAAAAAATGCACTGTTGTGCTTGCCATGTCCGTCTGTCCGTCCGTCTGTCCGTGACCTCAAGTTTTTGTCAAAGAGAAAATGCGCGCTCTGTCACTCACTGCAGTGAGTACCTACTGAGTTATATATTTTGTTCTCGGATTTGGCCAATTTTAGACAACCTGAATTATGTACCACTAACTCCTGGAGAAATACATTTCATGGTATGCATATGTACCAATATGTAGTCAATGTGTTAACTGAAATTTTAAAAATCAATTATTTAAATTCAAACTTTGGTTGGTCAGAAGTTCTGTCTCCTGTCACTACCCCACTCCTCCCCAAAAAACCAGGCACCCTTCGACAAGACCAATAAGTACAGCCAATCCTAGAATTGCACTATGGCTGTGTGATCAGTCCTTACCATGGTGGCAAACCAGACTTTTTTAGACTACCTTTTTGAATCTAGTATACCAATAAAGTTAAGTGGGCCAATAAAGTATCCTATCTAGTGGATCAATAAAGTATCCTGAATATCAGCATTATCATATAGTTATTGAATAAAATGTTCAACTAGATAAGGGGCTTGAAAAATTACCCGTTTTCTGAAAACTCTCAAGGTTTGCCATAATGATCCATACTAGCAATCTCTGAGGATCTCCTGCCCTGCTTGCAGCCTCCTGAAAATGTCTCTTGCTCTTGGCTTGTGCTCTCTCTAAGAAAGATTGAAAGTAGGAAGAAGCACAGGCTGGAATTCTGCAAGTAATTCCAACCAATCACAGCTGGAAATGGACAAGTATCTGCCAAAAAACGACAAACTTAATACACTCATAAAGTTTGTCATTTTTGGTGGATACATGTTCTTTTCCAGCTGTGATTGGTTAAGATGTCATCCACTCCAGACTGTGGTTGGTTTTGGGATTGTTAACTAGTGAGGAAAATGTCTAATCTTTGAACTGCGACTGGATTTTTGAAGCAGTAGTTTTATGTATTTGCAAGCTGTGAATTCCATATCCCAGCCATAAAGAGCCATTTATGAGCTGCAAACTCATTTGTAAAGTCCTTTTCACATGTTTTCTCATATCTCTAATTTTACCCTAGAACCAGCATTACAGCAACAAGAACATATGTCTTTGCATTAGAAGCAACTCAACAAGCAATATGTTTTGTGTACATTTTCATTGAAGAATAAACACAGTTATAATGCAGTCTGACCTGACCCGCAACTATGTGATCTACAACGAAATGTTTTGGTTTGACTCATTATGCAGGATTTTTCAACTGCAGCATGGTGCTAAGAACTGCAGAAGCTGAAAATTTTGTGAAATTACATGTCTGTGAACAAGAATTTTTTCAATCAAACAAAAATACATTGCATTATAGCTGCAAGATTTCATATCTACTGATATTATATGACTTTGGAGTCTTTGAGCATTAGAGCCACAATATTTCAGAAAAAATTAGACTTTTCCCAACTAGATGGTGATTGGTGATGTCATCCTATGATCCCATCCAGATTCCAGACTGATTGGTTGTGTGATGGCCTTTTCAATATACTATTTGTTATGGTTAATTTAGTACTCCTCTAGAAACAAACACTGCATGTGAAATACCGTAATCATTTTTACCAATAATTTTTGGAAAATTCAACCTAATATACCAAATTTGAATTGGAAGGATGGCTTCTTTTCCATTCTGAAGAATTGGGCTGCTTGGACAGCCATACCACCAGGGTGCAGAAAGTGGGTGAATATCAAAACTGACAAAAGATCTTTGGTGATGCATCGAGCAAAATTTATGCCTTCAGAAGATCTTGCCAACACATTTGGATTAAAATTATTGCACTTTAGAAATTACTTTGAAATTATTGTAAATCTGAAAGACTGCAAGCACAAACAGTAAGGTTTCCGGTGCATTGGATGGATCAGGATGCAATGAAGCTTGTCCAGAAATCAGTTGCAATGAGTAAGTGTTGCAGTGTGTGGAGACACACTGTGGAAGTCCAGAGGGGTACATAATACGTATATTAACTGGTAAACATAGCAAATCAGAAAAAATGACCTAAAAATCTGGAAAGGCCAGCATCCTTTCAGTCCATCATCATCACTGATAAGTCTCTACAAGCTGTCACAGCTGTTTCAGTGGAAAAAACAGAGCTTACATCACCACAGTAACAAGGATCCAATCAACGCTTGAATGCATCCAATCTCACAGTCACATGAATCCAATCATTGCTAGAATGTGTGCAAGTCAGTCACAGTCACAAGAATCCAATTAGCATCAGAACATGTGCAACATCACAGCCACTGGAATCCAATCAGCGTTAGAAAGCTAGAAAGGACCAACCCAAATGCACACAATGTTAATGCACTGATGCTAATTTAATGCATAATGCCACGCTTCTTATTTCAATTGTGTAATGCAATAATGTAGTTATGTCACTATTGATTGAAATTGCAAAGAATAACATCTTCACGGTGTACATTCACTCACAAATACATGAAAAACTGCCTATGATTCAATCCACAAATACAAAACTGATCACAGATGCACTCAGCTGAGACACGCAGACTCCTTCCGTTGCGATCAGGAATACCAACCGAACAAAAAACAATAACAAAGAAGGTAGCAGGGATACCAACCATCAATATACTCATGTGAAAAAATGATTCAAATTCTTCTATATTACAAATTTATCAGTAACTGACATTCAACAGAATGGTTTAATAACTTTCATAATTGTTATACATGCATGCATACGGAATCAATCGTGTGCA